GGCAAAGGCAGCAGGTCCAAACCCCACTTTGCCAATGATGAATGGCTTGTACACTGCAGTCTGCCCCAGTGAGTGGGGGCTAGATGGTGACTGGCAGTAGCCATAGACTGAGGCGAGGTGGGGATAGAGGGTTGGGGGTTCCCTGGGGAGGGGAGACCCACATATGTGGGGGTACTGCCAGGGAGCAGCACCCAAGGTAAAGGGGCACCGGGGTCCAGGAGGGACACGGGGCTGGCGACAAACGAGACATCGGCCGGCAGAGGGTGCTCCAAGGCTGGAAAAGCTAATTCCCTGGAAAACCAGCAGGAGGCGCCACACCGGTGAGTCGCCGCATCGCTACACCATGTTATAGTCCATTCATCCAATCCATACTTTTTTAACTTGCTGGCAAGAACACTAATACCAAACTCCTCTGCCTGGAGAGCTTTTGCACTCTTTCCCTTGTCTGCTCAGGATCCTTCCTGCATTAGCAGGTTACTCCCAACCCTTCCTGGCTGTAGTGTTAGTCCCAGATCCCAGGACCCTGCTGGTGCCTACTCACTCCTAGCAGTCTCTCTTCTCCTTGAGCAATACCCACACCTGCAACTTCCAGCTGCTCTTTAGAGGAGAATCACCTGATCCCTCTCAAGTGGGACTCATCTGGTACTCTGAGCTGGATTACTCTTCAGCCCAAGGACCCTGTTACAACAGGATACTACCCTCTCTCTCTATAGCTATTCTGAAGTCCAGCAGGAGACCAGACTACAATGCAGCTATTCAAGAGAGCTTACACTCTCAGTATACTTCACTGTCTCTCCCAGCCCATCCCCTGTTCCCACCTCTGTTCACACCTCCCCTGGCCAGCAGCCAGCACTTTGTATCTTTAGACTAGAGGGACCCTCAAAATTCTACCCTAAATCCCCTCAGCATATCAGGACTGTGTGTGTGTGTTGGGATGGGGGAAATTGTAACATACTTCACTATCCAGTATAAGAGGTCTGATAATCAGGGGAATTATGGTCACATTTTGTGGGCCTTTTACAAGCTAATGATCAGGCTGTTGAAAAGAATGGACTGAAAGTGCTGGATGGCTAGAGGACTACACACAATCGTAAACACTGCACATGGTGCACTGAAGTGGAGGACAAGGCCCAAGGTGTAATCCTGTGGAAGTTAAGCTTTCAGAAAGGAGGTAATGGATGATCTAGACAAATGAAAAAGACATGACTGATCCACTGCGCTGTTTTCTTAACATGTGATCACTCTCCTTGTGGCTATGCTTCCCAGCAGTCTGCAGGTGCCCCAGCCCAGGGTCTAGCCTGCAGCTGCCCAGGCATCACTTAATGCCAAAGGTACAGTACCCTCTCCCAGTATTCTAGTTTGGGGGTGGGAGGTGGGGTTTAAGTTCATTTCCACTGAGTCCTTACTTTCAGGAACACTTTGGCTGTTAGTTGTCACTAGTGAAAGATTACCTCTATGCCTATGTAAAAATAGCTCCCGTAATTTTTGCTTTCTAGAGTAATTTCCTATAAGTGTTTCGTTTCTTGCTTAATAAAGACACAACATCCCTTTTCACAGTCTTGCTTATTTACAGATGGTTTCTGTTTCCTTGGGTACTCTGCAACAATTCTCTTCGGCTGATGTGACATCTATTAATTGCTAGGACTGCCAAACTTTTTCCACTGTTTTATGTCATCCCTAGGTGCCCGGTAATAAACAAAAGTGGTAGAGCAGCCTCAGCAGTTGGCATGAAAAGTGTTGACAAGAGAACAAAAGCAAAGTGAAACCTCAAAGCTATCGACTACTAATGACTGTGTAGGAGAGCACGCTGGGAGAACTATGCCCAGCATGCATATACTTTCAGAGCAGCACTAATCAGTGTCAAATGGCTGTAAAGGATTATGGGATTTGAATTATGGGTAAAAACAATGGAAGCTTTTGGTTGTAGTGGGGTGGAAGGACTGGTGAGAGCACGGAGCATGGACAAATCCTGGAGGTTTGTTTTGGTCTGGTGGGCTAGTGGTTGTTGGGTGCATATAAAAGATAAAGTATTGAAAATAATTCAGGAGAGAGATGATATTTAAACTTATCACCACAAGACACTATAGGGATAAAAAGAAAGACTGATCTCACTCCTGATTTCTGTCAGTACTAAAGAAATCATCAGTTTTCCAAAGAAGAAATATACAGTACTTATAATTTCCTGAGAGCATACAGGAAAAACACAAGAGACAAAAACAATGTAAACCTGTTTCTTTTCCATCCTTAGTGTCTTTGTATGCATCCCAGCTAATTAGATACTAGGGGATGATGGTTGCTTGTAAATATCTTACATTATACTAACATTTAGATTGGTACAGTAGATATCAGTGTTCATTATGGGCCCAATCCTGAGCGGCTCTGATCACCCTCCAGTCCCACTAAAATAGATCATAATCTCGTAGGATCAGGTCCATGATCTGTGAAATCAAAGGAAACAGACATACCTGAACAAACCTCTTCATAGGTGGGATTTGGGGTACACCCTCCTGCATAACCCACTTGAGTGGAGTAGACTCCTTTCTGTGTCCAAAACTTTCTCTCTGCTCCCCAGAAACATCCCATACCTGCACAATGTGTAAAGAACACAACAAGATGTTAAGATCTAATCAATATTAAATCAATCACTTGCATATTAATTAAGACTCTCTGTACTGGAAACAACTGATGCAACTGGCACATGACGGTCAAATGTCCACCAAGATTAGCTATGGATTTGTGATTCTGTGCAAATCCATTCCCCTTCACGAAGCTAGCACAGACAAAACTTCTGATTTGTCTGAATATCGGCATATTATAGATAGCAAAATTTAGAATAACCTGTACGATTTTCAAAGGCACACATTTTAATGACATGAATCCCCACCCACCTAAAAGAAAACCATTGCTTAAATGGCAATTGTACATATTTCTGTAGCAGCATTTTCCTTTAGTTGATTAGCAAGCTGTCAAAACACATTAATTTGTATTAATGGCAAACATTTATTTAATGTTCTGCTTCCTGGCACATGCAATCTTTAAAGGTGGAAGAGTAATAATTAACTAAATTATAGATCATAGAGGAGAAAAAACTCTCAGGCTTAGTTAATTTATGCATGCAAATATCTGATGTGCATGCAAAAATCAGGTATTAATTCACCCACATGGCCAGTTATCAAAAGAGACCAGATTCTCGGCTGATGTAAAATGGGCAAAATTCCACTGAGTTCAATGGAGCCTCACCAATGTATACCACCTGAAGAGGTGATTGAGTGAGGACCTGATCTGCACATGCACATTGATTTTTGTACTCATAATTTCAGTTAGTGCAAACTGATGCATGCAATTCTACAGGCGTTACTTTAAAAATATGGCCCTAAACTAATGCTATTTTCCATGGAAAGCTGCTCCCATAAATTTATTACATCACTCCTAGGCCATTCTGAATTATGTTCATTATTTCCATGACCTATCGGGCCAGATTCTCTGCTAGTATAAATCTGCATAATTCAATTGACTTCAATGGAGCTGCGCCAATTTGCACCACATGCAGATCTGGCCACTTGTGCCTGTCATTGGAATGGGGCGACTTAACTGATTGCTAATGACTGGGAACCAACATGACTAACAGTCAGGATTCTCTGAACATTTTATCTAGTTAAGAAGAATGAATTACTTATTGTTTGTGAAGCTCTCTAAAGATGAAAAGTGTCATGTAAATGCTATTATTATCTAACTAATCTATGATTACAGATGGCAATGTATTTCTTGTCTGAACTTTTGAATAGTTTTTTTTTTATCTTTTCTCCCACTAAAACGCTGGAAATAAAGGGTTGTGTAACATACAATAAATTCCAATTACAGTTGGAAAACAGTGAACAGTTGTAGGTTTTGCAATGATAATACTGTTGAGATTTCAGGTTAAAAATATTACCTACAGTTTCCATTAAAGCACAGCTAAAAGAACAAAGTAGGGCCTTCCATAAAATACAAATTGTTCACAAAGGCATATCCTTCCTTTGAAACTTCAGAAATCAACTTCAAACTCGAGTAACTTATTCTGATCAACTCTTATCTTTGTTTTCAGTTTAATGCACTAAATATACAGGGGCAATGTCACTGCCATTTTAGAATACCTGATGTCAACTGCAACCAGCCTGTTGTCCAGCGTTAATGCTACCATTATATACGTAGTCAGCTGAGCCTGAAACTGGAGTCTACTGATGTGGGTTTTATACTCAGCTCTGCCTGTGATTTGCTGTCTTTTGGCAAGTGACAGGTACATTTTCAGCACACACAAAGCATGTGTGGACACACTTGTGCCTGCACCTTGCAGCTGCAAAAATCTACACCCATGTGAGCAAATTCTAACACCTGAGCACACACACTTTAATAGTCCAAAACCTGCATATGCGAGTGTTAGAAGCAGCAACCACAAAATCCACTGGGACCACTCAAACACAGAGTGCATGCAAGTGTTAGACTATTGAAGAAGGGTACACAAGCATTAGCAAAGTTCAGATGCAAATACGTGTGTATACAATTTTGTGTATGCAAAAGGGAAACTGGCCTTTAAAAAAATTGAGGACTTCAGCATCCAGAATTGTCAATCTTCTGGGTGGTGTCCATTGACTTCATTGAAGCAGTGGGCATTTTCCGGGGTTGTCTACATAGTGTCCCTCTCTGGATCCCTTGTTTTGACCTTTTGGCCTGCAGCCCTACCCCCAGCTTTCTTATTCTTGTTCCCCAAAATCAGTTGATCTCTGGGCTCAGTGTCTTCCTCCCACACCTAAGGAGGTAGGCCTTTTGTTGTTCTAGTGCAGGGGTTCTCACAACAAAATGTTTGGCGGTGTCAGATTGAGGCTACCAACTCTTGCTGGTGGCCACTCTGACAAATTTTCCTAAAATACTTCATTAACATTAGGAAAAACCATTGTAATTTATTGATGTGGGTTTTTTTTCTTTTGCAGACTCAATAATAATAATAATGTACAATTGTATTTTGGTGCCTCTGGCCCACACTGCTGTGGTGTTTAGATGCTGCATGTGATTATTAGAACTGGGAGCACTGGCTGTTGGGAGTCTGAAAGGACAGGAAACAGGAAGGAGCGGGGAGGAGTTGAAGATGCTGGGAGAGTTACAGAGTGTGCAGCTACAGCTTGGAAAAGAGATTTCCACTGTAAATAAAGTTCTGTTGAAGTTGTTAATACTTTGCTTGGTGGATACAACATTTTGGCGACGAGGATGGATCTTCTGCCTCTGAACCCACATGCACCCTTTCTGCAAAGCCCAGGTGAGCCTCCAATTGCTTTTACTGCCTGGATCCGTATGTTTGAGACTTATCTGCTTGCAATCAGTGCTATAGAGATTTCTGAAGTAAGAAAGCGTGCTCCGCTAATCCACTGCCTTGGAGCAGAAGGGCAGCGTATATTCTACACTTTTAGGGTTACCATATTTGACAAATAAAAAAGAGGACCCTCCATGGGGCCCTGGCCCCGCCCATTTCCCACCCCAGCCCCGCCCCTTCTCCGCCCCGACCCCACCCTAACTCCGCCCCCTCCTCCCTCCCACTCCCAGCCACACGAAAAGGGCTGCCCGAGCGCTACCGGCTTCACGGTTTGCCGGGCAGTCCCCAGACCCTGCGCCCCCGGCCGGCGCTTCCCCAGCACAG